TGAAGTTACTATGTTAAGTCAGTGTGTAACTGATCCTAATACTTGTTTTCTCAAGGCTAGGGATTGATGAAGAGCTTGTTGCATTGCTTGGCAACTATTCTCCGGTCAGTAACACACACATATTCTTGATTTTTAGTATCATTTAGACATCTCATATGTAGTTTTGATTTTGACAGATTCCAGTAACTTATGCGGGAGGGGTGACGGTGATGGATGATGTAGAGAGGATCAAAGAAGCTGGAAAGGGACGTGTGGATGTAACAGTGGGAAGTGCCTTGGACATTTTTGGTGGTAATCTACCTTACAAAGATGTTGTTGCTTGGCATCACCAGCAACAAGAACCCTCTTCAGCACTCCACTGATAAGAGTCAAAAAAAAATTCAGTCTTTTTCTTTGTTTTATTTGTCTATGATTAAAAGATGCAACTTAATATGTGTGAAAAAGTCAAAAATATCTGGAAGAATGTTGAATATTTTGCATGGAATTGTTTCATTGCTAATTTGACTTTCTTCGTTCCAATAATACCACTGTATTAACGTTGTTTTTTTTATATTAACATTGTTTAAAAAATTTATACTATGTTTTATGCCTTTGATTAATTTTTAAATTTTATATATATTCTTTTAATTTATTAATTAACAAAACAAATAATATATCAAATGTTCAAAGAATTGTTAGACAGTTACTTAAGCGTTTTATAATAAAGTACTTTTTTAGGCGAATGTCTTAACGATTTTTAAAAAATCTATTCTAATGTTTTAAAATGGAAAAATCGTTTAGATTCAATGTGATGTGTAAGCACAACCTCTAACCATATTTATAAATATATTTCTTTGACAATTAACTACCAAAACAAGAAAACAAAAACCTTGGGTGGGTAAGGATCCACACCGCCAACGCGGTGCCGTGTTCCTGAAAAACGTTAACCACTCGCCACGTCAGCACCAACGACTTCTCAAAACACATATTGACAATAACTAAAACACAGGTCCCACCATAACTCCGGACAAGACGACCAATCACTAAACATTACACTTGTCAACATCCACCCAACAAATCCCCTCTCCTTCCAGAAGCAAACCGGTTCATCCCACCCAAACCGGGCACCACCACCACCGGTTCAACCTCTTCCACCGGAAGCCGGCTCCTGATATCGTCACGTGCCATAACCGGCGTCGTGTGGGTCCCATCTTTGCATCCTCCTCTGCTCCTAAAAATAGCTCTGAAACTCGCTAACAACCCGGGTTTCTTGACCCGGTTCGCCTTCTCCGGTCGAACCGATTTCTGACGACGCATACGTCGGCTACGTTCTCGTCTCGATCTCACCCTACCGGTGCAAGAGACTTTAGGAGAAGAAGGCTCGAGCTGCGAAGGATCCGACTTTATCCTCGACCCGACCCGTTTCAAGAAGACTCTGTTCTTCTCCTTTTTTTTCCCGCCGTTTCTCCTCTGCTTCGCCTCGTTTAAACACGTGTCCTGCGGCTTCGGTAAACCGATGATGGACGCTTTGGAGCTGAGTAGAAACCGTTGAGAGCTAGGGTTGGAGTTAGGGTTGGAGCTGATGTTCGCTGAGCTTCCTCTCTGTGATTCTTTGCGGTCGAAGAAGGCGTTGTCGGTGAGCCACTCGAGCTGAGGAGCATCTTTGGTTATGTAATAAGATTCCGGTGGAAAATCAGTCGGGCTCGCGGAGGTGTTGTTGTAGTAAGGTTTGGTTTCCGTGTCGTTGACGTAGGTTGACTCGCATGTGATCTTCCGGTCCGAGCCACCGGAGCATACTGAAGAAACAAGAGATTCAAGATCGACTTGGGGCATAGAGCTTGTAGTGTAGACACTAGAGAGAGATGTTTGGTTTTTTAAAAAGAGGTGAAGAGACAATAGATGAGAATATGGGTCCTTTTATATTATGAACAAAACACAAAAGGCTCTTATTCAGATTATTTTTTTGTATTCTTATTAAAAATATTTGAGAAACCTGGGGACGGAAATGTCGACGGAAAAATACAATAAACAAAAACAGAATTAAGTAGAGATAACTAGTGTTTAGATGGCTAGATATAAAATATTTATAAATATCACCCTAATTATTTAATAATTCTTTTAATATTTTTTTTATACAACAGTCTTGTCAAATTAGTGACAGTGTTATTTTTTATCAAGATATTATTTACAATTATCAATCCAATCGATTTTCAAGTTAAAATGTTGAAAAAACTAGTTTAAACAACGTTCATTACCAACGTTGAATTGGCCTAGTGGTAAAAGGATTGTGGCTGTAATTTCCACCACTTGAGTTCAATTTACATTGGGAGAAACTATTTACAATATTTGGATTTTGGATAAAGAGGTGAAACTATCTTTTTTTATTAAAGAAACAACAATATAATGGTTATATCTTAAAGATGTTAATCCAGCATGCTAAAGCTTTGGATCCAGTTAGCTGACAAACTCCATGACCGAATCATTTGGAAGCTTTTATGCCAATTCCTTAATTATTCTTATATCAGTATCAAACTATATAAGCTTTAAAAATAGTGTCAATAGCCGAAACATAACCAATTTGTAAAAAAAAATGCAAATATACATAGTATTAGTTTTGCTGCTAAAAATGGATATTTATAAGATAGTAGCTAAAATCAGTAGACCAACCAAAAGATGTCTGGATTGGTATCTCTTCTAGATACAACGTATGTCTTCATGTGTCTATTAGAATCATGTCTTTTCATTTTCCATGAAATGCAGACAAGACAGCCTTCAATAATATATTAATTAATACATAAAATGAGTTGATTCAATCGAACATTTGAACTTATTCTGTGCATTCCGACATATCACGTCCTGCTGTATACACGTCGACTTATTTTGACATTTCAATCCTTTCCATTAATATCTAGTAGCTTAAGAATAATACTACTTCGTAGCAGAAAATATATACATTTAGTGCGATAGATTTCTAGATGATATATAAGTTTTTCTCTTTAGCTTTACCATCTTTAGCAATGCTTTTGGAAAAATGAAATATCCACCTACCAACTAATTAACGTGTTAAAATTTATTTTTTATAACGCATCGTTTGATAAAATATAGACTAGTTTAATTGGCTTTGTGGAACTTTATATAAAGCATAAGAATCAGTACACTGGAGTTTCACCCTCGTGTTAGCTTTTTATTAGTTCATCTTTCATTTTCTTCGAAATAATGGTCAAAGTTTAAAGATTAATTTTCCTTTCATATGAACAGAATTAGATAGGATCACTAAAGAGCAAATATCTTTTTAGATAACAAACACATTATGATCAAATAGTATACAATAGAAAAGTCTTCAAAATAACATTTATTAAAAGATAAAATGACTAAATTACGTTAAATCATAAATCTTACCTTACTTCTATCTCTTTTAATATTAAGTTATATATAACTAGACTCTAAAATTATTATATCTCGAAATCAAAATATAAAATAATTTTTTTTAAAACTTTTGATATTTTTTAATTTTTATATTCTTTTAAAACAAAATCATGCTTTAAACTCTCTCTGAGAAAGAAAAATAAGAGGATTGAATTATTTATTTTGACTCTTTTTCAACAACTAATAGTCCTTTGCATGTTTACAAACTATTATTCAGTGCTCCCTAAACAGTAAAGATGAATTTTCGAAACAAAGTTATTTTAATTTCTTGTCATTATTTTTTCTGTTTTCTTTTGTCATATGAAATTGAGACATTGATTTATCTTGGAAACTAGGTTAAGAAATACTAAGGGTGACCCCATTGAGTCATTGACTAATCTCACGTAATCGTTGATGAGAATGTAAGAATCTAAGCTCAGCGTCAAAGGTTTTGAAACTTGTTTTGCCGTCAAATGTCCAGCCCATAGACTAATTAAAAAATGCACCAACAAATGAAAAATATAATGATAAAACGAGTACAAGCTCCTTTCTACTAAAATGTTTTATACACACTGGCTTCTAGAAGCCATATTTTATGTCTGTTTAGAATCTCTCTTTGCTTCTAACCAATAAGGATTTTAAACCAGGTGGATATTCAGAGATAAAAAAAAAATGTTCAACTGGGGTCTTTCTTGGGATTAAAATATACATTAATACGTTCTAGAAACCCATGAAGCAGAGAAAGAAGAACATATCGAATTTTCTGGTAATATTAGAGCTCTGTACACTCCACAACTCTAGAAGCCAACTAGTCATTGCCTTGTCTACTTGCTTTCGTCACGTCACGTCACGAATGACATATTTGACTGTTTGGGTCCCCGCATAAAGAAATTAGTTTTGAACATATCCGCATACAATCTCAATCAATTGTCTACGTGTTATGTTATATTCAAGAAAACTAGACATCAAATGGATAACTGCCTAACCATTAGCGTTTTGAAACGTCTTATATAATAGTAACTCTAAGGTATACGAGTTTATAGAAGAGAATATATAAGATATATGGACAGTGATATGATATATCACCGAAGTTTTACAAAAAAATGTCTACCTCGCTATCCCATGCAACATATGTTGTAATTCATTGTCATTTAGTCACAACTCTTTTTTTTTTTTGCTAAATATTTAGTCACAACAATTGACTTCTTACCCAGCTAGTCACTTACTCGGTAAACGTTATTCGTGATGAAAATGTAGTCACAATCCCGTCAACAGTCGTGAGATTTTTTAACAAATCCATGTTATAAGTCTTAGTCTAGCAATGTAACAAAATTGGTCACCATTTCAATCAATGATAATAGCGGTTTCAAATATCCGTTAATTTTATCAACGTGATGAAGGACATAGCAAATTTTTTTCAGTTCTAAAAAATTTCCTATGTCCATTATCACGTTGATAAAATTTACAGATATTTGAAACCATGACTAATTGATGTACTTATATGGAAATATGAGTCCCTAACCGATGTAAATGTATGATACATCCTCACTAATTATCCTCTTGACTTTTTGTTGTTTTATATGGTGAGGAATTGTTAATCATCAGTTACATCGTTAAATTGTTACTTAGCATTGCTTCGAATGGTAACCAACCACACCACACCTAAATAATAACAAAGATCTCTACCTTTCTATGTATTTATATATTTTTGTTACTATTTGAACCGCATTGCATTTGTGCTGAACGTTACCATTCTGATATATTTTTAGAGAATATCATTCGTTTTTTTTTTTGTTACATGGCTGTCACGTCATGCATCATGATCGAATTATATAAGCTAGTCAAATGTTGGAAGGTACAAACCAATGAATATGCAGGCCCGGTTCAAACGGATAGCCCACGTACACAAACTGTTTTATGAGACATCCCCTATATATTAATTGAGAAACATTTGAAAAGATGTAAACTCAAGTTTGTATTAATTAAAAAGTAACTTTGCTTAGTTGTCAATCAATTAGCATACCAATTAAATTGACGTGGCAGCTTTAGGTTCAATTGAAATTTGCTAGGGAAAAATAATTAGAGACGCATATAATGCATGTAACATAGTTTATATATTTATATATATCGCACGCATGTAATGGAAGAAAAAGAAAATATACGATTTGATAACGATTTGCATATATTAACTATAATAACTTCATTCCTTTTAATTTATGGAAGTGTATATGTAAAATGGAAATTACTTTGTGACCAAGTACATACTTAATGGTAAAGGCAAGTGTATATGTAAAATGTAAAACTTAATATGTTAACTTGGGAATTTATGTTAAACTTTCGATTTTTTCGTA